GTGCATCGCCGATCGCCCGCGGCGCTCGACAACAGCAGACGAATCGGACACGCGCGAGCGTGGATTTTGTAATCGAAACTGTCCGGCGCATTCTGCGAAATGTGCTGCTAAATGTGATATTGAAGTTACACACAGAGGCAGAGCGGTTTGTTGGAATTTTCAGGCTTCGTCCCGTGACATTGTGCGAAAACGAGCGTACCGGAGCGTACCGGGGAAGATTGAAGAATAACGAGACATTCTCTCTCTTTTTCTCTCTCTCTCTCTCTCTCTCTCTTTCAACTCATCGTCCTCTTTCAACTTCTTCGTGGATTACATTACAGGACCAAATATTAGGGCACCTCTCTTCGCTATCGGGCCGAATTGTTTGACTTACGCGATTGTGCGCTTGTATGGAACATGGAACCGGTTACTTCGTTCCGCGGACTGGGCCGACGGTAACACGGACAACGACTATGGAAGCTTGGCTAATCCGAAAAGCGGCTTAGAGCAAACGCGAAGCCGAACCCGACGAAAGGCGGGGTTTCCGACTTCCGTCGTGTATACTCTGCGTCGGGCATTATTATCTTGTTAGCGAACAATATTCCGGAAGAATGGCTTCGTTCGCATTCGCGCGTTCTCGGTACACCAAGAAAGAAACGCGCAGAACATATATTCTCGTGCCTATTAAACGACCGAGCTACGAGATGCCATACTATAGAACCATTATGTAATATATGCAGTAAAAAGGGGGAAAAAATCACCTAGATTTTCTGAAAGATCTTAAAATATTTCACTAGAATGATAAAACATGTAGGATATGTGCGATAACGTAAGATTAATTTTAAATCAATATTTTGCTTCTTAATCTTCTCTTTTCAGTAATTATCTGTACGTTGAGATAACTTAACATAATTAATACGGGAGAAAGTGATAATACATGACACAGAACGGTAACATAAAACAAGGCTGACTTCTTAAATAATTACCGCGATTTGTCAGTAACTGAAATAAATATAATCATTAAGATCCTTATTGGCCACTAAAGGGAAAGCACGTTGTTTACGGTATTAAGAGAAACCGCTTTGTGTTTTTCCCTATTAAAACTGTTCACAAGGAAAGATTAAAACATTCATTTATCTTGTTTTAATTAACGGATCTAACATATTAACCACAGTGTGACGATTAGTAAAATTAAATTTCGAAATCGCAGATTTAATTATTTGGAAATATTTTTCCTAATTTGAGACGCGCTAAGTCAAAAAAAACGATGGATAATAATATAGAAAAAGATAATTCAAAAGAATGATAACATAGAAAAAAATGATCCATATAGAACAAAATATTTCATATTACCATGTTTTATATTTACACGTTTTATTCAGTGAGTTTAAAAGTGATGTGTTTATTTGCGACTTCTGTTTATAGGTCTAAAGGACTCCCACACATAATTTAAATTATTAAATTTCATTTTTTAATTTTCACAGGAAATTCTTTTATTTTCATTTTTAACTTATGACCTTTGCATTCTCTCTCAAAGAAATTCAATAAAAAAGTTTGATTTAATATCAACAACTTTATAATAATAAAAAATAAGTTTGTTTCATATTACCACCCTATTTTTCAAGATCCCGCTATGTACTATGTTAAAAAAATAGTGTGCTCTTTGAACAGTTTATTTCTTTTTCTAATGATTATGAATACATTATAAGAGATGTATTTGTTAATACTTACTTCTGACAGTTACTAATGCAACTATTGCATTTAATATTGTATTTTTTGTCTAAACCAAAAAAATTGTTCTTATTCCTGTTTTTCCCTATTTTTAATAAAATAAAATGTCGCGATTAGATGATAAGTTCAAATTAAAGATATATTGTAAAAACTATTGCCAATAGTGATAAAGTGATAAGTTAAAATTAAAGATACTTGTAAAAGCTATTGTCAATAAAAGTAACAGGACTGCCGCTCGAGACATGACGATGGATCTTATAATTCTATACAATCCGCTACTCTATAATCGGCAACTGATACGACCCGCAATTTCGAATCTTTCTTTATATGTATACACAGCTGTTTGGAAATACTGTCGGCAAAGCGCGTATAAAATGCGACAAAGTGCGTATCTTCGCGAACGTAAATAAGCGCTCAGAGCGTCTGGAATTATCATTTTTCACAGGTTTGTTACTATTTATACTATCTTTCTTTTTCTTCTTTATTTCATGTGGATACAACGACAGTTGAAAGTCATTTCATGTAGATGTAACGACAGTTGAAAGTCATTTCGCAGCGAGCTGCTGCTTGGATAAACGGCAATGCGTTATAATGTTTTTTTTCCTCCTATTTATAAAGTCGTCAGTTATGTTTTTGTACGCTACTTTATAAATGATCGGGGAAGCCCGAGTTAACCATTACCTGCCCGACGTCTCGTGATTCCCCTACTTATGTAATGATACAAAAACTTCCTTGAGTTTTACAATTAGAGAGCGGCTGCGTATCACACCGAATTATGTCACCGGGTGATTATTCGTTTTATATTTAGCAGAGATGCACACAATGAATACATTGGGTGAGTCGTTATCAGCCACCTCGGCTGGGAAATTATATATGCGTCACACTGCTTGAACACATTAAGCGTCAAGGCTAAAGTGGATTCTCACGTCAACGGTCAAATGTGTCCCGCCGCCCGCCAGAAAGATAATTCCTTGCAAGACTAGTGTCGTATTCCAGACGGTGACAGAATATTTCACATGTAACTATTTATTCTTATACTTAGCTCTCAAAATACAAGACTATTTGACAGTACTACCGTTATAATATTATCTTCTAATGGCTTCGGACAACGTGAACAAAAATGAAGTTTACGCTCTCTTGGTAATGCATAGCAATAAAATTCTTACTTATTTTACTTCGACTTACGAGGTACTGGTATGACAGGCACGGTATGATTCATTTAGCATAAACACGGAATGAGTTTATCGCTGACCTTGTGAAGCATTCTAGGAGTGTAGCGTGCGATACGTCTTTCTCACAATACTGAAAGGGACTGAACAGCCTTTTGGCTCGATATGAATTTCAGAACGACACAGAGATGTTCTTAAATCTTGTTTAAATCTTGTTAGTACGACTTGCGAAATCATTGAGTAAGTCTTGAGAATTTGGCTACTTGCTCGTTGCATTGCGGTCAACGATATCGCGATAAGGTCAGTGGAACAGAGTCACGACGGTTATCATATAATCGTCGTTCGATACAAAGGTTAGGCAACGAAAGTCAGTGTGACAAGAAAACAAAGGGTGTAGCAGGATAGAAGAACGAAGAAGCAGACGAAAGTGAACGAGAATGGCAAAGCAGCGAGAACGAGACGGCAAATCTCGAGGAACCCTCGGGATTTCCCGCTGTCGGATTCGTACGATGCGGTGCGTCGCAAAATACCGAATAGACAGTCGAGAGACAATGGAAAACGGAACATGAGGCATCGAATTTTCCAAGTAATTAAGTCACGAGCGACCGCTGTTGTCACCGCATTCAGAAAACATTCATATTCCCGACTGATGTCGAGAAAATAATTGTTAGCCGGCTGTCAATTGGCTCTATGCGTGAGAAACAAAACGTATGCAAATTGTTTCAAGCAAACAGCTAAGCTTCAACACAAACTGATATTTTTGTTCTATTTATAAGTAAAAAACTCTTTATTCACAACGCAAATAGCAATTTCTTCGACGTTCGATTAATCACAAGCCGCTGCGTTTATAAGATCGCAAGCGTGTTATTTCCACGAATGTTGCCGGAAAAAATTGTTCAAGCTGCTTCAATAAAAAAAGAGAGGAAAAAACGTTGAAAGACTGAAATCGCAAATTGTATGCGCGCGATAATTCAATTTACCGGTCCGTAGTAAATTCGATTCGAATCGCCGAATATTCGATTTTACGTGCTCTTTAGCCGAAATATAAAAAAAATCCCGTGCACCAAGAGAACGGAGGGGAAGCAGAAGGGTCAGTCTGATTCACTTGGGCCATCTCGCCGATGGCGAAATGGCATTTAGGGTAAAAGCGTATTCGGGAAGCGGCCGGCTGGATTGAGCGCCGAGCTTATACGCTGACAAAGTGGACACAACGTACGCGTTTTGCAAGCCCGAAATTTCCCGATTGGTCGAGCGGCCGAGTTGTCCTTCCTGCCCGTCGCGTCCTGTCACGAAGTCCACTAATTGCCGGACACGAGCAATATTCGTGCGATTTAGTAGATCGCTGCTTTGAAAATTGCAACGCGCACGATAAATCGTGAGATTTCGCAGCCTTTGCCGTTTAGCCTTCGATCGCCGGTACAATGTTGATCGGCATGAAAACACAACATGTTTACGTAACACCGACATATACGGGCAGGGTCATATCGAAGAAGTGCGAATTGCGAACGAGGCAACTGCCGCGCGGAAAATATTTTAATAAGAATAATTAATATTTAAATAAGAATGCAAAAATTTATTCTCGGGTAATAATAACCATCTCTGAAATCTAAATTTATGCTTACGAAAAATACAAACGATCTGCAAGTCGCGAATGAGAAAGAGCTACATTCTCGCGAGGAAACATTTGAATAATGAACGTTATATTTACAGGTTATATTTACAGGTATAAGAGTACAAGTATATGCATGTATATTTAATTGTATTTAATTATTTAATGAATCTGTATTACATGAGATCCTAAAATAATATGCAGTTCTATCTCATAATCTAAATTCCCGCTGCGAATCGTAGATTCCTAATAAAGCGGGTTTAACGTATTCGAATTCAGTTCAAAATGCGGAAAAAGCACAAGTAAAAGCGAGCACGACGACTTGTTACTGACAACAAAATTATATTATTAACGTTTCGTCTCTTCACAAAATAAGCCGCTTCTCACGCGTCGGGATATACCAGAATCGATTTACGGTATCGCTATAAGGAAGTGCAATTTTTAACATGTGCATCGCATGATAATTTATGATGACGCAATTGATTAGATAATAGCCAACTATTTCCGAAGCGCGAATTGCTGAAGGAGAATTATAGATGTGTTAACAGGCGGCACGGCATATAAAGACGCATGAAACTCGCAGACCGTAGCAGTCCAGAAGCGATAACACAAAGCACCGGATCATCACGTTAGAATGTCGCGCGCTAGTCTCGTGTTGCTCGTTGCTATTGCAGTGCTTTTCAGTAAGTCTTTACGCGTTGTGAATATAATATAAATAATAATCTTTCACTTCGACTCGAGTTTCCGTGAAACAGTCCCGATGCGTGAGAAGCAGCTTATTTTGTGACAAAGGGACGAAACGTTAATAATATAATTTTGTTGTCAGTAACAAGTTGTGCTCGCTTTTACATATGCTTTTTCTGCATTTTGAACTGAATTCGAACACGTTAAACCCACTTTATTAAGAATCTATGATTCGCAGCAGGAATTTAGATTATGTGATAGAAGTGTATCGCATGTGCTCTCTAGTCCTTTTTATCTTTAATCTTAATATCGTCGATGAATCCACGATTGTATATGTACAGGCACGGTTACTTCGCAACGACAATGCCCGCCAGGTCAAGAGTTTACCACTTGTGGATCAGCATGCCCACCGTCTTGCAACCAAAACCCTAACCAAGCTTGCACTCTGGTATTTTTATTGAATTTTAGATTGTATTCGATGATGTGAACTTCACTGAGTTTTATTCTGTTTTCAAGTAGACGTGGTTATAGGGTAGGCCGAGGCGAATCGGATCAAAATAATTTTTCAGAAAATTGTCGTTAGTATTTTGTTTTAAACGAATTGTTATATCCTTCCATAATTCGCGTGATAAAATAACTCATTTGAAACGAAAAACAAACGACAAAGATCTCAAAACTTATTTTGATTTGATTCGCCTCGGCATACCGTACGATTAAAAATATCAGACATTTTGTCAATTTAGTCATTGCAATAGATAAACTTGATAAATGTGATTTTTTTTCAGCAATGCGTAGTCGGCTGTCAGTGCCGGCAAGGGCTGTTGTTACATAGTTCGGGTAATTGTGTTCAACCTCAGGAATGCTGAAAACCAATGGAGACACTTGTTTACTGAAATGGTGCCCGAAGTCGAATATTTTGGAGCCATTTTGGAGGAAAACTTTGATGTACGATATCTAACTATAAATTAGTTGCAGTTTATACGCTCTCAATCAGTAATTAAATAGATAAGAAGTTGAAATTATTAAAATGAGAACGTCTCTTTGTTTTATTATTAATGTTCTGCGAAATATTCACATTTAACATTTCTTTGTAAAACGACCAAAGTGATTACAAATAAAGACTAACATAGATAAATCATGTTGCTTCTCCTTCGTATCTTCGGAAAAACACATATTACGCCATATTTAAATGATCTACGGTTCAAGAATTATTAATGTGTTACACAAGGAAACAATATAGCGGCTAACGAGCAAAAAAGTATCAGAAAAATATAAATGCGTTCCTCGTTATCACATTTCTCGGTTTGTTATCATATTTTTCATTTTATGCGAATTATTGCTGAAATAATGCGAAAGAAAATATTTATAAGTCTATTTCTTTTTCTTTCTCTCCGTGTTAATCTAAACTACAGATTTGTAGATACCTCTCAAATTTTGTGTCCGAAAACAATATTTCGCCAAGCTTGATAAATGATGGCAATATCTTTTTTTGCCTTCCACTTTGCGAGTAACTTTTGTTTGCGAGATAAGATATAAGACATATGACAGATTTTCTTGACTTTTCTCCGCGATGTTCTTTTTTATCCTATTTGTCATTAACGTGTTACTGAAAAAGTTAACGTCAAATTTACATATTGACCTTAAGGTCTAAGATTAGATCGTACTGGTATCTATCTCATGGCCGAGTATTTTGTAGCGCAAATGGAAAACAAGCGAGACATAATTGCTTTCGCAAAAAATTTTTATGGTAAATTAGTTCGTTTTTCTTGTAATAAATTCTTGCGAACTCTTTATTATGCAAATACGCGGATAGGAAACAAATTAATATAAGAAATCTTGCGATGTAACAAATCAATTTAACGAGCGTGATTTGAATAATGAAGTCTGTATGAGATAAGTATGAAACTAAGCGAAGCATTACTTGCGTATTAACAGATCGATACGTCTCGATTTACTCTCGCCTGGCTCGTCTTCACACACATACACGCACGCACGCACACACGCGCGCGCGCGCACACACACACACACACACACACACACACACACACACACACACACACACACACACACAAATATATATATGTGGTAATTTTTAAAATTAGCGATCGCAGAAAATGTAACGGCATGTATAATCTTATTTATGTATTATTTTGTTTTTATATTAATCTCCTATATTTATCATTGTGATCATGTTGATATCATATGAATATCATCATATGGATGATTCGAGACAAAGCAATAACTGCGATAAGAAAATATTGAAAAAACGAATACAGTTATTATTGATACGGAAACGCGAAGGCATAGAATCGCGAACGTAGAGAACCGAGTCACGAAGCCAGCGAAGAAGCGAAGACTGTTGTTGCGTCATCAGACACAATAGAAAAACGTATAGAAAAAAGAGTGAGTGAAAGCGTCGAGTGGTACAAAACGTTCGAACAAAGCGAAGTCGACTCCTGGCAAACATCACTCGTATTCAATAAATTAATTTACGTGAGAACGATTTTATTTAATTAAATATTATTTAACCATCCTCAAAGAATTTCCCACACATATATATGAAGCTGATATATTTCGCTGGTATGTTTACACACCCAAAAAAAGTATTCTACGTACAAAGTGAATTTTCCTTTAACCCCATGTTCTAAAAGAAATATCTTACAGAAAGCATATTCATCTTTCATTAAAGGGAACCACTCATCGTGCATTTATGAGATATTATTTTAATTGTGTTTCTCTATATCAAGATGAATATGTTAATTTGAAGCACAATGCCGTCTTACGTGCAGTACGAGAGACACGAAGAACTGTTGTTTCGCTGCGTACCGTCGTGTATGATTGGTTGAAACCAAGCGCCACGCTTAGAGCTTCCACCGTCAATTCACTGTCGACGTTTCAATCAAATTGACGTTGAAATCGTCAAACTGACGTCTGTTTGATATCATTTTGACGTTAATCAACGAATCATTTTTCACTGGGTATATAGATGTCACCAACATGAAGTCTTAAATAGCTCAGTGGGAAGAGGGGTTGCCTAACAAGCGGAAGACCTGGATTTCGATCACAACCGAGTCTTGATGTTTTTCATCTCATATGGCATTAAAAGTGTGGACATCTACAGATACACACAACCACCCCCGGTCAAAGTTTTCTGATCTTTCTTTCGTGTGGGTGCGATAAAATTTATTAAATCCGAAGAAATATTTTTGAGTTGAAGTAATATATAAAAGGAAATTTAGATTAAGAACAAATAGATTTGCACTGTACATTCAATATGAAATTCCTTTATCTCTAAGAATTGTGTTTAAGATTATTTTTCTCTTGATTTCAAAGCAATCCTCTTGAGGCTATATATAAGAATAAAACCCTCTAAGATTTAGAAAATTCCACTTCTATTAAAATTATCTTTTTTTGAGTGCATATTAAATCGTGCGTTTTCAAGAAGCAGTGGAAATGCATAATCAACAGAACGTAGTAGTATCGTTACATTTTAAACTTATAGTTACATTTTTGTTTTGAACATTTTCTTTCGATCGCCGTCGATTTATTCAGCGACACGTGTTCTATTCAACGATACGTCAACAATTCGAAGAAACATATTAACTTAATCAAATATATGAAAATTTCATTCACGCAATCCACAAAGTCTGCTAATGCAATAATGGGACAGGTGCGGCTGCCCATCCACTTACAATAATTCGAATCGCGTGTGCGAAGAGATAATTCTTCCTTAATATATTTGGTCTCGCTTATCGATGATGATTTCGCGAGGAAAATTGATTATTTATTTGAGCAAAACGATGACTAAGCGTAAAGCAAATTTTACGAAGTAGTTTGCGAGCTTGCTTATTCGATAAGTATCAATAAGTCGATATAGCGGTAAATTGTAGAATTTATTGCCGTAACAATGATGATATATGTTGTATCAGATATATGTTGTATGGCGTACAAATCACATCTCATTAGACACTAATGTATTATTCTGGGATTAACTTGACGAGGTAATATTCTAATTATAGCTGTTCTAAAACGGAAGCAACACTTCGAATAAAATGACTCTCTGGTGTTACACCGAAAATTACCCCAAGAAATTATTTAAAATGTATTTTCTGTATAAAAAATACGAGAAAGATATTTTCGGTAGATTTTGTATATTAAATAAATTACACAGTCTTTCAAGTCGTTTTGCGATAACGCAAAACCGAAAAAGTTCGAATAACTGTTGGCTCCACACTGCATAACTTTATCCAATTCCACTTAGAGAGAATATGAGATATACAGTAAGTTATCTGTTTCATGACAATTGTCTGACAAGAAAATTGCAAGACTGCGATGTGCAACGGCTTGTTGTCGATTGACTGAAGAATTTAGAATACACTACGTCTCTCGTGTAGAAAGTATCATCAGTTGGGGCAGATCTTTTGCAACAACATCTTGAACATTGTTCTAGGTTTTCTCCATAAAGTACATGTTATTTTCGCGAGTGTTTTCTGTATGGAACATAAATGATGATAAGAATACGAAAAATGCAAGAATAATAATGTGACTGCGGCAGCAAACGCGTATAAAAGTAGGGCCCATATCACACCAGAGTAATATCACGCAAAATAAAGTCGCATCGCAATCGAGAAGTCAATCATGTCTCGTACAGTTCTCGTTCTTCTAGTCGTTGGCGTGGTGCTGGCAAGTAAGTCTTTCATCGGGCATGCTTTACTATGAACATGTATATGTAAGAATCTTCTACGACAAATATATCATTGTCTAGAGCTATTTAAATTAGGGATTGTTTGGGAATTATTACACGTAGATATCACTATTTATTAATTTTGCATCTTCTGTTTTATTTTTATGCCGTTTCTTCAATAATGGGATAAATACTTGTAACGGTGGAAATTGTCAACTTTTATTTACACGAATAAATTGAGTAATGTAATTATTAGACGCGTCGAAAATCCAATAGTGTATAGTATATGTATAAATATGACAGTATATAGTGGTATAATTAAGAATTTATATTACTTATGTATATTCACGGAATATAATAATAAACAATTATTGCAGTCGTTCCGGATGCAATAATGCAAAAGAGTGATTTACTGCCACCGATAATATGTAAAAAAAATGAAGAATGGGTAGAATGTGCGACAGCGTGTCCCCCAACTTGCGAACAAAGAGAACCAGGGATTTGTATAGCAGTAAGAGATTCTTATGCAGATAACATAATATAATACAACTTTTAAATAAGTTTCATTTTACTTAAAATAGCATTTTACAAAATAATAAGTTTTTTATGTTATATGAAAGTATATTTGTAAGTATATTATATGAAAGTAAATATATAAATGATAAATAATGATAATAACATATATATATATATATATATATATATATAATAAAAAGCAAGGGAGACAGAGACTATTTGACTACTGGGGTAAGTTGGCTAAATCGATTATTTTTATTGTTCTTTAACAGATTTCAGAATAAAGCAAGTGAGAATTTCAAAACCATCTGTGTCATGTTGCGAAAACTTTGCTTAAGTTTGTATCTCGCTGGAAAATATTAGAAATAACAGGTTTTGCCAACTTACTGTTAGCCAACTAGCTTGGATCTCTCTAATATATTAAGATATTATATATTTAATAATTGTTTTGTGCTAATGTTTAGATGTGCAGCCCGGGTTGCCAGTGTAAACCTGGATTCCTGAGAAACCGTCACAATGAATGCGTTCGTCCTTGCGATTGCGACTAATAATTAGGATCAACTTAGAATCGAAATGTAACTCTGGGCAACTTTATTGAGGAGTATTTATTATTGAGGAGTTATTCCTTAAATCATTCTTTAAGCACTTCTACTATTTGGTATCGAAGTGTTTTTTTATGTTTTTACATATATAGTATATATTATAAATTTGTAGTGTATGTGATGTACAATAAAAAGTATCGCAAGATGTTGAAATGTCGTATAAATTTCACCGTTCCATATCCAAATGTTGACGGACTATGTAGTTGAGAGGCACATTAAAAAGAGTGTGTCAATAAATCAGATATTGTAAGATAGTAAGTAAATGTTGAAATTAAAATTGCATCCAATTCTTACTTAAATTCTCACAATGCAAACCTGAATTTCAAAAGAAGATATGTGTAGTGCTTAATAATTAAAAATATTTGCAAATTATTTATGAAGCGTTTTTGTACATTGCCGCGTATAACCTTGAAATAAGCGTGTTCTTTATTGTACTAAGCTGATTTTCTCGTGAAAAAAACACCTCACAAGCAATGTATGTAATAGTATATAATTTTGGTTTTATGAATAATTTAATAAGTTAGCACATTATTTGGATAGAGTTATAAATTAAGTATTAATTTTTATTTAAAAAGTGTATAAATATGGTTGTTACTGCGAGAATTGGTTTTTTTTTTAATAATAATAATGGTAAATGCGTCTAAAAGTCTGAGTATTGATCATCTAGACGAAAGATACGATTAAAAGTTGGCTTTTTTAAATGATAAATGGAACAGCGACTTTAAAAAGAAGAATATAATTTTGATAAGAATAATCACACAGCAACAATAAACAAATACAAGATGTATCAAAATCAACAAATATCAACAATTCTCGGAATCAATTTTCGTCGAAATATCGAGATACCAATAAGTAGTTTTCGAATAATTAGCAAACGCGAAAAATTAGCAAATTATATCTTTCAAATTATATCTTTCAAATTAATTGAAGTTAAGCATTTTTTAAATGGTTGCAAAGATATACAAATCATAAATTAATAAAATGCAATAATCTCTTTTGATATTTTTCCTAAAAAAGAATTGTTTTTAAATTAATCGAAGGACTATTGTTCAAAAATACTCAATAGTCGTAAAATACTGTATATAATAAATATTGCAAATAAGAAACCGTTTGTTGTTCACGTGCTTTTTAGAAAAAATTTATTATAACCTTCCATGTATTTAAATATCCTTTGCGAATACACTCACTCCTATATTTGCATATCTCTCTGTAGTTTCAAATATGCGGATATTTCCTTAAAGAAATTTAAACAGAGAACATATAACTCTTTTACAAGTGAAAAAAGTTACGTACGAGATATACTTTTATGGTTCTTGTCACAATTCTAAGAAATGGACGGAGAGTCCACTTTGTTAGCACGTCAATACTACTTAAATAACAAGTACGCGGCTTCATGGAACGAGCCCGATATTAGCCAATATTGACTGCGTATGTTAAGAAAGTCTCGCCGCTTTGGTGGGATTGGCATCTGTAAACTTCGAAGGAGATATTGTTGTTCAAAGTAGTTCTACTTAAAGCTAATCTCACGGTCGCTATCATACGGAATTCAGATATACTAAAGGTGACAGACGATTGTACAACTATTGTGTGTATAATTTATCTCTTTTTAAAGCGACACAGGAGAATAATAGAAAAAAATTCCTATTATTCACAATTGGAAATAATAAAAAATATAAGCAATTACTCGAATAAATCACAGTAGACTTTTTTAAAAAAAGACCAGTATTATAAAAAATAATTACACATCAGATGATGTCATTGAAAAAATTACTGTACGAATCTCTACGATTTTACATATTCTACGTTCTACCTGTGCGTGTTTTACATATACAAATACATATATTATATACATGTAACATGCTTTTGTATGTTAAAAATATAGTATATATTTCCTTATCTTATATATATTTATAAAGATAGAAAACAAGTACTATATGTGACATATTATAATTTCATGTTACAAAGCTTGAAATGATTGTGCTTCTCCTCATAATCATTATTTATAATATAGAAGATACGTACTAAAAAACAGTAGAAAAGCTGTTATTTTATCGTTGTTACGTGTGTACAATTGTTTACTGACTTTTGTTACAAGCAATCTTGTTACTGCTTAAATAGTGAATGTAAGAGGCGTGCACTGTTAAATATTGGAGGGTCAAATTTAAACCAATTTCTTGAGTTAAATAATATTTAGTTATTTTTAACTATCATGTGTGTCAAAATTTACTATTTTAACACAAAACATGTGTTTAAGAAAACAACCACATCTAATCAACATTAAAACATTTAAAACACAATATTAAGACATTTTTTACTAAAACTAGTAAAGTTACATTAACGTGCACATAATAAAAAAGTAAGCTAATTTTTAGTCAAATTTAATACATTTCTTAAGTTAAATTATTTAACTCCATTACATTATTTAAATTAACGACATATTTAGTAGGAGCAGTGGCGACTTATAGGAATGGTTAAAAATAGCTCAAATTGAGTATAATTTGACACTACGGATTTAACAGTGTGTAACGAGCGACAAAACTCCGCCGTCAGAGAGTATCTTGAAAATGAAAGATACGTGACAAGAACAAGCACTGAACTTAATAGAAGGGGTCACTATCGTGAGAGATATAGCCAGTTCCGTTAACGAACACGCAATGATTAAAAATATCTGGAGTTTCCAAACCTTTCCTCAGTTTGCGATAAGCAATTTCCCGCCGTATGCTGCACTACTGACAGTTAAATTAATAACTATTAAATTAACAACGCGCGCGCGCGCGGTAATGACTAAATAATACTGTTTAAATATTTTGTTGTGGAGAGAAACAGGCAGCTATTTTGACACTTTCGTATCGTACACATCAAGATTCATTATCGATGTTGGTGACTAATAAAATACAACAGTAATTGCATTATGACTAATAATAAATACATGACTCGCGGATGAATAAGATTATTCCGATAAGCGATGCGATGCGATCGTGGGAATAATATCGCGGGCATTGCTGCTGCTTATATGTATATAAGCTGTAATTATATCGTAATTAGCATATTAGTATGTTAATGTAATATAAAAGTGTATTTCTAACATTCAAATTTAGATGCTACTATACGGAGTTTTGTCGTTCGTTACATGCCTCTTACATTCACTATTTAAGCGGTAACAATATTGCTTGTAACAAAAATCGGTAAACAACTGTAGGAGATAACATTAAAATTTCAATCCCGAAAACTTGATTTTCGAAAGTGTGCTACAAATTATTTTTGTATGTAGAAAGTTTGCATTTCTTAAGATTCCACAAATACACATCATATTTTTCTTTTAATACGATTATTTAGAACTTCTCGAGCTATCGATATATTAGTATCTTTACCGTTTCTTATTTAATAGGTATGACTTATAACTATTAACGGATAAGATAGAATGATATATATCTCCTTATCTCACTCTCTCCCTCTCCCTCTCTCTTTTATGAAGGTAAAAAACAAATTCCATCATATCATAACTTCATACCACGAAACATGAAATAAATCAGTGTGAATCTCGTCCTCGCAATCACATTGTCTTGGTGTCGTTATGTGTAGGCGTCGCTAATATTTATACAATTACAAAATTTAAGTTAATTAAAATTCAGTTTAATTCAAGTTAATAATTTAAGTTAATTAATAATGAGTTAATTAATAAAGAAGAGTTTATTTGATTAAGCTAAAGCTCTGTTACGAAAGGGGATTAGATTATAGGTCAACTGATAAGAATTCCGCTTACAATTGATATCGTGTCGGGCAATACAGCGGTTTCTGTTTCTTGAAAGAAGTCGTTATATACAAATCTGTAGGATGAATGTCGCGGGAGAAAGAAGGAAGTAGGTATGCCGAAAGAATATTCATCACGTCGAAGGTCGCCTGCCGTAGTATATAAGCACAGTAGATCCGACACCAACTGTCAGTTGCCCAATCGTGCCGCAAGTAAATCTACCGAAAAATACAAGGATGGCTCGCGCCGTAGTTCTTCTCTTTCTCATCGTAGCAGTCGCTACAATCAGTAAGTTCGCAGCAACGTTAATCAATGTTTTTAGCATTTTTGTTGAAATTTTACTTATTTGATATTACCACAAGATTAAATTAACAGGTGTTTCATGAAACTCCTTTACGTAAGATACACTTGTAAACGTGCGAAGATTGAGTTAAACAACAAGTTCGATTTGCTTTTCAATGCCTTCTCTTCTTGACGAGAAAAATGCTCACGTTGTATAATAAAAGCTAGAACGAAGATTGAGTTAAACAACAAGTTCAATTCGCTTTTCAATGCCTTCTCTTCTTGACGAGAAAAACACGTTCTATAATAAAAGCAAGAACGAATGCCAGAACGTTGGCGGAGGATCATATTACGATGAAAATTTCTTGATTAATGGACGCGATTTATCTTCATAGAATGCAATAAATTTAAATTTTACTAAATGATGAAACGAAGTTTCTTGAGTAACACTCTATACTACTTGCGTAGGTTAAAGGATTTCAATTAACGATATTTAACGTCGTATACTAATATTATCCGTAGGAGCGTTATTAAATAAAAAACAAGCAACTAATGTTTTACTATGTTTGTGTAGGTGCCTATCCTCAAGGATTCCAAAAAGAATGTGGCCAAAATGAAGTATTCACTACTTGCGGTTCGACGTGCACGAGTACTTGCGAAAACCCATCTCCTCGCGCCTGTACGCTGGTGAGTAACGCATTCTCTAACAAGGATATATTTGCGAATAATTATAACTATTTCGTCGAATATCTTAATGACCTTTTTTTATATCTGTCAACTGTAAATGCAGACTTGATTTGATTATATTACTTCTATATTATCGATTATTTCGCGTAAACTAAATTTTTATTCGTGTATTTATTATTTAACACAAACGACAATCCGGGTAGAATATGAAATTCTCCATAAAATAACTTTACTCAAATGGAATCTATAATATAATAACTACTTTGTTTATTTTGTTTTGCAGGCATGCAAAATCGGTTGCGAGTGTAAGCCCGGATATCTCAGAAATGCGCAAAACAATTGTGTACTTACACAGCATTGCTAGTGGATTAATGTTTGAACGTTATAATGTTTGAACATTAAACAAGCAACATTAAACAAGCAAGATGCCAAAAACGAGCCAATTGCGTCATCAGAAAAATGATAAATATGTAATTACAACTTTTGTTTTGATCAGTATGTTGTTATACAGATCCTTATAGCGCCTACTAATCAAAATAATTACATAGAAATTATTATATAACTGATTTTTTATGTCCGACATTTTTTTATATAAAACAATATCGTCTTTTATGTTTTGAATAAAAAACTTTTGAAAATATCAAAATATTATGGTGTACTCAAATCTGGTATAATTCTATTGTCTTTTTATGAATCCTGTTAATATCTTAAACTATTTTTTATAAATTATTATGGTTTATCCCTCCATAAATGATGTTTTTAGAATCACATTAAACTAAAATATTAATTAATATAAAAAATATAGTATTATACATATGTGTATTATATATTTTTTATTTATATTTATATATATCTTCTATTTCTATATATAGGAATAGAAGAAAACTTTTAATAGATTAATACTTAGGTAAACATACTTTATCTCACTGTTTTTAAATATCAACCTTTCCTTCCGGAAGGATTCTATAAAATCAGAATAATTTATGAAAAATAATAAATACACAATCACTGCGGAGTTAACAATATGCAGTAATTATATATTGCTCTGCAAAAGTAATGTTAGTACGATAAAAGAATTACACAATTATATAAGTAAAAATTAAATGATATTTATTCAACAATAATTATTGGTTTCCAAAAGAAAACACTTAATCAAGTTAATTTAAATACAAATATTAACAAGTGAATAAAATTATAATAAAACTGAGAAACTTTAACAATGTAAGAACTTCAACAATCGTCGCAACTGATTTTTTAAGAGACTCGGTTACGTATCGCCATCGCTACCAAGAAGGATTCATCAAAATCTGTTAACATTTTGTTGAGAGAACACAAAGGTTCAAGTTGTTTTTCAAATATCCACTTTGGCATCGGCAACGCGAGACACAAACCTAAAATCAAAATCATTAAATGTCAATATGATGAGTTAATTCACGATTCGATACTAATTGACGTTCCGATAAAACGACAGTGTGTGAAAAACACTAAAAATATGTGTGAAAAACGCAAAAGAATAAATAGCGAATATAAATAATAATCAACAGAAATTTATTGTGGCGATATATATATATAGTCACAGTAACTGTATACGAACATCGGGACAAAATTCCGCTGGCGGATGATCGCACGTAGCTTCACAGGCTTCCGGCCGTCCACAACTAACCCATTCCTCATGGAGACCGCACTGGTGACGTTCCAGTATATAGGCTTCGGCTAAACAATATTATCGAGTCATATAAAACATGTGTATTATACTTTATGCGATACGAAATCTTTTTGTACATCGATGCGTATAGAGTAGAGGAGACTCGGTTTTGTCATATATTTTATATACCGATTAAAAAAATAGATGTATGCAAATTTTTTAATATTGTGCATATTTTCATAAAAGCAATTTTTAAATAAAAGGAAAAAAATATTACCGTTATATATACATATATATATATATTTATACATAAAAAAGTTATTAAACTGTAAGTCGTGCAAATGTGACTATCCATCCTATATCCAAAATTAACAAATTGATATTTGTCATATGTTATTCATGTAAACAAGACAAGACAAATTATTTCTGTTTTAAGTATTTTAAATATTTTATTAATGTTAATAATAACTTATAACCAGATACATAATTATAATGATAACTTATAATTATAATTTATAATCAGGTCATAAATAATTATTGAATTAAGAAGATAATAATTTTCATAAGCTTTGTATAATAATAACTTTGAATTCTTTCTGTAGGACCTTACGGAGACTCACTATTGTGATATATTGTGATATATTGTGATATATATAACATAATACAATACTATATATGTTTCTGTGCTCTTGCATAAGTCATTAAATACAGATTTATAATGCATAATAACTTATCCCACATAATTTGAGTCAATTGAACCTAAATGGTAATTTTGAATAAAAGGGATTATATTTATAAATTATGTTGCTATAATTATTATGGAAAAAGAGTGAGAGCTGAATATAGGAAAAACTAGTTAAACCCATAACATTTCTCACAACTAAAGAAAGATTACGATCAGAAATTCAACGGATCAATAAAAATAGAGGTGCAAAATTCACTGCGTCCAATTTTGAAAAAGTGTTTGTAAATACCACAGGCAATGTGGTATTCTATCATAAGTCATTTCGTGCATCCAATTAACATGATACAAGCAACCAACACTATAGAGAATAACATGCTTGTCCATTTATTACGTAAGAAATAAGTTTTATAACAACTGACTAGTGTAACATGTAGATTCTGTCTCCCCTATCTTGAAATTAGCTCATTCTTTTCGTTCTAAAAACTAACTTTTTATAAAAGAGCGTTTCGCAAAAGACATCGACAAAATCGTACATCTTACACAATAAAAGCGTTTAATATGTACGAAAAATTTACGGTAAATACAAAAACAAATTGCAAATATTGCAAATATTAAACGCACTGCCTAAATGAAATAATTGAGAAACTTACAGACGGCGTAGACCGTAACGACGAGGACGAGCAAGGCAACCAGACGAGCCATCGTATGAATTTGCTTTTGTGCGTTACTCGTGCAATTACGAAAATCACAACTGAGACCAAATGTCCCAACGCGAGTTTTTATATATTCGACTAATAACCTTCATATAAGTACATGATAAAGCAAAAAGATTTACAACGTATTTAACGCTCTGGAGAGCGTTAGTTATCAGTACTTGACTTTTTAATGACTCGCATTATCAAATTTATTTAACACTCATTAACGTCACAAAAAACAAGCACGACATACACATTTTACTCTGAGATTGCAGTGTGCAATGCGCATTATACCTTGTAACCGCATTTTTTATCGTGCATTTATACTACAATTGTACCAATGACAACGTTATTGTAAAATAAAAGATGATAAAGATCATTATCTCTATGGGTAAAGCCCGTATCAGACTACTGACTGCATAGGCCGACCCGACTGCCGATTCTCAATGGACCAATCACAGTAAGGCGATAAGTCGGCGCCTTACTATGATTGGTCCATTGAGAGTCGGCAGTCGTAGTCGGCAGTCAGGTCAGCCTGTGCAATCAGTAGTCTGATATGGGTTTAAGAATAGAATATCGTGATCTCGGCTGATATATTGCTTCACACTCACACACATTGTCGAGGCCAGCACAGGAACCTTTTCCCTTTTAATGCGATAAGTAAGAGTAGAAAACAGTTATCTTATACGAATTCATAAATTGCACAAGCTGATTTCGAGAAACGAAGAAAAAGTTTCCACATGACAAATATTCAACACACCGCTACAACTATCATATTCTGTGAATAATGTGCATGCCACTGCGACGATTCTACGTGACGTCACATGGAAATGTTTATCACATAAATGCGACGCATTTGAATCTACCTTCGAATATCAGTGAATTGTGCGGAACAGTCTTTTTACGTATTACTTACGTATTAATCCGTTTAAACAGATCTTAAACTTAATTACGTTTAAATGCAATTAATGGAATCGTCATACCAAGTTTCCTTCGCTAATTACACCTGGCGCGACAACTGCGAGGTAATTGTACGTCAATATGCATATGTACACTCGGTGAGTCATGAGATGACGGCTCTGTCGTAGTAGATAATGTTTTAGGTCGTTCTTATCTTAAAATTTTATATTCGTTCTTATCTTAGAATTACTAAAAGAAGATTAAAACTGTCACACGCGAGATATAGTGACAATAAAAGGAAAATTTAAAGTGTCCTTTATATCATCGAGAAACCGAACACGACGCAAGGAAACTCCCCCTACGAAAAATATCGTTCAAAACATTATATTATCTTTGTGTTTTTCTGATAATTTTTTTGCACGAATTACGTTTCTCAAAAAGACAACTTAAAATACAAACTCGAAATTGGTTGGTTGGTTATATCATAAGAAAAGAAAAGAACACAGAAGATAACGTTACCTTCGAGTAACTTAATTCAATGTAAGCCTCATCCTTGAAATCGGATTAGTCGCTTGACTGGATATCTTTATTAATTAAGGACGTGGTTAATATCTTAGGCGCCTTGCACCCTCGTCACATCCTTCTTCCACATCCCGGCCGACAGCCCAGAAAACTGAACCTCATCATAAAGCAGTTTGTCATTAATACAATTAAGCGGCGCGTTATTACGCGACTGGCGGGAAACTCTCGCGAACTACGTTACTATTCCCGTTAGTGCGTTAATAAATAATCCAGTCTATGGCTTAATCTACGATGCTGAGCGTCTGGTGCAGTTTTGCGAGCGGTACATATTATCATTCATGAAGACGTTAGAGTGTAATGGCGCGAGAGGAAAACTCATTTCTTGGCGCGTCCGCTTGAATTAACGTTTGATTAACGTCGATTAGCACGGGATATCAACGAAACCTCGATGACGTTATTGTGCATAACGCCACTATATACGTATGTATCGTGGCGTTTTAATTATGTTCTAAGAAACACATGCTTACGCGATCTCGAGCGAAACGAATATTCCACGTCGAACAATGGCACGACACCCAATTCGCTCTTTCGGAGCTGATATTTGACGTTTGGCAAATATCGTGGATGACACGCCACGGCCGTCCCTATCAGCAACGTCTCGAACCCGTGCTCGAGAACCCTCCGGGAGATCTGAATCGTCAGTTTTAGAGGACACGATCGGCAGAGAGGACGAGGGAGAAAAGGAAATTCGAAGCATATTCGGCCGCTGAGTTTCCGGTCGGTTGCTTCAATATGCCGGACCGATAAAGCAGAATGTCGACCGGGCAGAGACAATACGGCATTCGAAGCGTATGGCGAAGGGAAATCGTTTCGTAGCTGGCCCGTTGTCGACTCGCGCCACACGCCGTGGGCGCAAACGAGCTTTCAATGGAGGATGTTGCTGCGGAAGGAAGATAATTTCCAAATCGTTCGCGTGTAAATCGCACCGCCGACGTTATTATTCGCACCTTGGAAGAAACGAGTGCCTCGTCCAGCGCGCGTAAATTTGAGTAAGGTGCTCTCAACAATAGTTACGATATTTTATCTAGATATATATATATATATATATATATATATATATATATATATATATATATATATATAT